TTTAGGTAAACGCATAGACGGAGATCTTGATGCCAACTTTTTCTCTTCTTTTGAATCCATTTTACAGGGTATGAAGAGAAAAGCATAGTCACAATTGCAACAACAAACAGAGAGGTCAAGGAGCTGTTTTTTCTTATTTCTGGATACAAGATTCGTATCCGTCGTTTATTTGTATGCGTATACACTCAGAGAAAATCTACACAAACCCTGAATTTCATTCAGAATTTTCGTGATTGCAGCAAATATAATTCAATTTCGGATTTCGTTTTCTGGTCTGTAACCTTAAAGTTTGGCATGGCATTTTGAAATAATTTGAAATTTCTTCTTTTCTCTTAGTGCCCTTTTACTCCTACGATATATACATATCTATAATATATACTTTTGTTTTGTTTTTACATATGTTACATTAGTGTGCGCTTGCTTGTCACCCGCCACTCCTCACCACACGGCTCACTGAAACCATACACAAAGTTTGTCCTAATATAATTAGTCGAAATGGTTTCGGCTTGGAGCACTTTAAGTACACACACACACACACACACACATACAGGAGCCACAACACCATTAGGTATTAGCAGTAAGTAATTTGAACACCAATAATAAAATAAAAGCCATTAGAATAAAAATAGCAACAATCACAATAGTGAAGAAGGAGAAGCTAACCAAAAATCAAATAAAATCCTTGAAATACTTTCAACACAAATTACAACACTTAATTGCAATTTAACATTAACAAATTCACCAACGATATTCTGATATAAAATTGTTGATCAATTGAAATGTCAATTTGACAAATTAATTAGAGACACATTGTATTAGATTCCATTTATGGCCATTTAATTCACCTGTCTACTAAGCTGACATCAAACAAAAACAAACATCAAATAAGAGTACATACTTCATCTTAAGAGTTGTTCTACAGGAAACTCAAAAATACGTCAACGGCCAGGCAGCTAAAAAATTCATTCCCATTTCTGAGTTTTAACGTTGAAACTTAGCAAAACAATAGAAGTTTAAAAGTAGTATTTTAAAAGCTGAACAATGCGGGTATTCTATATATATATATATATATATATATATATATATTTCACATATATATGTAGTTATATATATTTATAGCCGTACAAATAGAAGCAAAACTGAAGTCCAATTAACTTGAGAGATAGGTTCCACACACACTTGCGTTTCACCTACAAACATGTGTGTGTGTGTGTTTTTATGTGTGTACACAGTGTATATAGTGTATAATTGACATATCAAGGTATATAAGTACTCGATTAGAAAGATATTTATTTAAAATGATGTCTTTTACTGCTATCTATCGTTAATCGATTTAAATCGATACTTTAAATAAACATAATATGCGTATACATAAAAGGAATTAAATCTGTAACATTAATAAACAGTTTTTAATTAATTTTTTTAAGGTGTGAAATCGCAAAAAAAAATGCGATTTGGCATAGATTCAAGAACTTCTCTATGGGATACAGGTCGGATGAGCTTGCTGGCCACTCTAAAAGTTTTAAAAGAGAGGCCGTCGATACATGTATTGAATCATTATGCTGCTAGAGTAAGGCATTCGGGTCTGCTTGATAATCCATCAAATTTACCAAAACTTCGTCCAACAGGTTTATATATTTTATATAAATGGGACCTATGGTGATGACTGAATGCAGCCCAGATCATGAGTGAACCTCTACTAAAGCTTCGTGAGGGGAAAAATGTCCCAGACTTCCCAAAATCGTGCCAGTATTTTTTATTTAGAAAGTTACTGCTTTTAATCGAATTTCGCAGAGTGCATTATGCGAACGGAGATGCTTCCTTTTGTATATTGCATAAATTAGCACAAATATAAATGTATTCCATATTTTAAATAAAAAAGATTTTTAAAATATTTTCAATATAAGTAACAAGAATAAGTTTTACATACATCCACAACTGGGACAGTAAAATATGTGCGAATACAATAACTAATACATCTTCAAAATACAATATATTAATTTCTAATTTATTTGTTAATGAAAAGCAAAAGTCTCTGCTGCATAAAATTAAGAGAACTTTAATTTCTCTATACATTCTGATTACAAAAGATAAGATTTGAATTTATTATATTATAACAGAGTATATTGTATTTTGGACATGATATTGAAGTGAAAATTCCCAGGTTTTTGTCTTCTTCATATCTTATTGGTTTTCCCACTTGTTCAGTTGAATTCGAGAATTCTTCCAATTATAAAGTGAGAGATTCAGGTTCAAGGCGATCAGGTTTGTTTTCCTTTCGCTTTTTCGAGTTGTGGTCAACTTCGAATGGAATAAAATCAAACAGATAACAGCAAAATAAAATACTGCCACAGTGTGTCTGGCTGTGGGTGAATGTGTATGTGTGTGTATGTACGGGGCAACTGGTGGAAAATGCGACACTTGCTTCTAAAATTTCAATGGTTGCCGGGTGACAAAGCCGCCGGAAAGGGATGGGCAGGTAAGTGGGTGGGGACGGGGAGAGGAAGAGGAAGAAAGAGGTAGAGCGAGAGAAAGAGAGAGAGAGCTATTTTATGTTAACATTGTCGAGCGTTAAAGTGACGCAGTTGAATTGTACTTATTGCTGCTAACCGTTTTTTTTTTATCGTTGGCCGCCAAATCTAACAAACCATTTTTGTATGTATGTGTTTAAGTGCGTGCGTGTGTGTGTTTGTGTGAATGTGTGTGTATACATGGCCAACAAATAGCACAAATGAGCAAGCAAATATTTATAAATATTATTTACTGCTTTTCTGAACGAAAAAGTGCATATTGTTTTCTAGTTAGTTCCAATTCAACAACAACAGGAAATTCGAATGCTTTTTTCTTTCCATCACATCTCTTTCAAATTGTACAGAATTGGCAAGCATTTAAAAATGCAATCAATTTTCTTGAATATTATTTTGTTCAGCTAGTTTATAAATAAAGCATTTATAAAATATGTGTCAAGACAGTATTTTTATAGGGAAAAAAATGAATACTCTAATTTCTTTTGGAAAAAACGTACCTTATTATCATTTTATATAATTTTGCCGTATGTTGTATTATTCTAGAATGTTCTTGGAACTAATTTAAAAACATTCTATTAAATTTATTGACTTAGATAATTTTGTTAAGTCGAAAAGCAAAAATGATTAATTTTGTATAGTTGTATCACAAATGTGTTTTTGGAATTCTCTTATTTTTCAAAGTAAATCTGTTTAAATTAAAAACTCGCTTTAAATATTTGTTAAAGCATTTATGTATTTTGAACTAACAACAAATCTAATTTTCTTGCTGTTAATTCAATTTCAGTTGAATGTGTTGTTTGACCATAGCTTTATTTTATATGCACACACAACATACACACACACACACACACACACGCACACACACACATACACATGCATACACACATATATTGTTGTGCATTTGTGTCGTTGAATTTGCTGTTGTTGTTGTTCTTCTTCTTCTTCTTATTGTTCTTGTTGTTTTTCGTTTTCATCGTCCATTCGCGTGCTTTGCGGTTTCGTTTTTGTTGATTTTCGTCAATTTTTCGGGGCGCGTCGTCACCGTTTCTGCCAAGTGAATGTGTGTGTGTGTGTAAGTGCGGGGGAAGGGGGCGGTGGGTTGATTCATATCGTGGCCTTATTTGTGTTTGTTGGGACAGAGGTCACACACACATACATACATACATACAACCTGTGGCATTAAGCTTATTTAGTACTACACTTTAAACTCCCTTCTCGAGTCCGTCTCCTCTCCTGGCAACCAACAGCACGTGTAAAGCAGTCAAAGAGAGGATGGAGATAAATGACGATGAAAAAGAAGACTTCAAATACAAACACTCATATTACTGTACATAAAGGATATTCTATGAGGGAAATGTCAACTTTCAAGCAGTATCTGAGATTTTGATATCTTTGTGGAGTTTATTTAAAAACTAGTCTCTTAATTTTCGAGTTAACTTGATTAATCTTGGAACTTCTCAGTTGACATCTTGAGCTTAATTAGTTTATCTTTTTCATTTCTTTACTTCTTTCGGACATTACATTTAAAATTGGCTCAAGAGCATCGAATTTTTGATGTGACAGACCGTTCGCTATAATGCACATGCTCCACAGCCTTAATGTGACTACTCTTTCTCTCTCTCTCTCTGGTCTGACATATCTTCGAGCTGTATGGCAAGACAGATAGACAGACAGACGCCAAAAAGCTTCGCTGATTCATTTAACAAAAACAACAAACAACTGACAAGAACTAAGAACAAAGAACAAAGACCAATTGCAAGGTTATGGTAACGAACGGCAGTCCTTTTGACAGTTACTTCCTTCAGTGGTTACCCAGCCCAACCACCCCACTCCACCACCTTTAACTCCCTGTTTGTTTCTATTGCATTTGCAATTTAATGCAATTTTCTTGAATTTAATGACCCTCCTTCCTTGTGACGTCAGTTTTAATTATGCAATTATGCATTATTGTATGTCTTACTCACATCCCCCCACGACCCCTACCAACTCTGATATATAAATGTCCTCAAGTTAATTTCATCATTTGCTCGAAGAGAGCACAACTATTTCAATAGGGGTAAGGGGGTAGTGCAAGCGGTAGATGGGCCATAAATGTCCTGAGGCAGCTCCGTTAAAGTCTACGAAAATGAGCGCAAAGTAAATAACGAAAAGCGACCGACTGACTGACGAATGACGACAAATGACGAACGAACGAAAAATATCAGATTTCGAAAACCGCCCACACCGTCGACAAGATACCCTTTGCATTGAAATTGATTACATTTGGATAGCTAAAATAATAAATACTACAAATAAAATCAGCTTTATAATATATTTGTTTTCTTTTCTTCAATGCGTTACACACTTGATGACAAAACTGTAACATCCTTTTCGAAGAGTTCCATGGGGTATGTACACATACATTTGCACATGCATACATCCCAGGTCATACAGACATACATACATGTATGGAAAAAAATGGTAAATACTTACGGATAGAAGAAGAAGAGAAATGTGGTCAGTAGCAGCACAATCCATGCGAAAGTCGCCGGAATGTAACGGGTTTTCACATCGCATTTGGGCATTGTGTTGTTGTTTTTTTGTTGTGTTTACTGCTGATGATGCGGCGACGTCAGTTGGCGTCTCCGTTTTGTTGTTGTTGTTGCTTATGATGATGATTGCTGTCGATGCAATAGTCGATATCTCGATGATGATAACGATGACGATAACGATGAGCTAGTGATGCCGGATCGTGTGCAACTGCAAGTGCGACAGAGACAGAAAACAACATAAGAGACGGCGAGGCGACGCGTGAAATTTGATCGAGCGAGTGTTTATTGTTGTTTCTGCCACAAGTTGATTTTCCAGCTCCAGCCTCTTCTCACTGTGTTGTTGCTGCTGCTGCTTGCTGCGAATTATGTAGGTGATGTTATAAAAACATATCGTCACACACAATCACACACACACAGCTACCCACGCACACGGACACGCACACCCAGATAGAGATTGAGGCACACACACACACACACACACACATGCACAGACAACAATGCGATTTTCGTTTTATCCAAATGAAAACTATTTGAATAGTTTTTTGCTCTGGCTGTTTGCTAACATTTTGTTTTTATGTTGTTGTTGTTGTTGCTGCTGTTTTTGTTGTTGTTGCTGCTGTTGTTGTTGCGGCTGTTGCAGTCTTCCCTTTTGTACTGTGTTCGTCGTGCTCCTGTTTTTTTTTGTAAATTTTTTTTTTCTTTTTTGTTTCTCTTGCCTGCTGTATGTCGCCCTTCTCCTGTTATTCTTGCTTCCCACCTTGCGCTCTTTTTCTTTCGATTCGTCGCTTGCTTCTTTTTTCCCCGAGTCGCTGCTGCTTCTTATTCTGGCTTTTTAATGCTTTTTTCTTCTTTTTTTTACACACACGCAAGCACGTTGTTGTTGTTGCCTGCAATTTTTTTGCGATATTCCTCCTCGAACCCGTCGTTCCGCTTCTCTCCCCTCTCTCTCCCCACCACTCCACTCCTCTCCTCTACGAGCGACGTTGATGATGGCGTTGCCTGCAATTTCGTCCGCTGTCAACTTTCAATCGAAAGCCAAAGCAGAGGGCAGAGCCGCATGCACAAACATCACTTAAATCAACGCGTTCACTTTACATTTGCACTTCATGGCATTTATGCACTGCTTGGTATATTTGTATATGTATGTATTTACGTAAAAATAAATAAAAAAAATAACCACAACACCGCGCTGCGCATAATTTCCTCGCCCGTCGATTGTCGAAAAACTTTTGTTTCTGTAAACGCAATGTTAAGGCATGAGCTCCTCAACAGCATGTTAACAGAATTCCTTGGACGTCATGCCTATCGATGATTTACAAATTTGCCAGCACTGTGACTACGCGATAGTCGATAGAAATTTTTATTGGAAGTTCTGTGTGACATTTATATAAAAAGTGTTCTCAAATAAAAACAACTTATTTTAGATGATAATGGTAATTTCCAGTTGCGTAATGTGGTAACACCCTCATATTAATTGATAAAAAAGTTTAAATTTAAAAGTATCGATTATAATACAAAATTGAGGCATGAGTCGTGTGCTGACACGATAATAAGGGTAGTTGCGAGTATCGATACTGCATACATGCTGCTGATTAAATATAAAGGGAATATATCATATGTGCATATATATACATTTTCTAATTTTCTATTTATTACGATTATATTATAACAAATATTTGTTCGCCGTATTGAGACTCAATTTGCTTAAACTTTAAAATCAGTAATTCGATAAAAAAAAATTAAATAAATCGTGTTAATCGATGTTGCAGACGTCCAGAAGCTGGTTGCTTTTCTTCTGCAAATGGAGTTCGTTTCTAATTTATACAGATTTTTGAATAAGAATGCTATTATTTTGCATTATTGTAGTTGACATTCAAATTTATTTGTAGTTTTATCACTACTTAAAATTAAATTTTTGTTTGTTTTATTTTAGAAGCATGTAACGCCATGCCCCATTGATGTTTCCTATCGATTATCGATATCGAAGAGGTGGTGTGCCAACAGACTCTTTGCTAACCGATTGAAAACTTTGGATTAGATAATCTAAGCGATATTTAACTTTGATATGACCGTTTGAAAGGAATGGATATCCAAATGTGCCTAATAAAGGTTAGGTAATTTCCATTCAAATATATCGAACCATCGATATACCGATATGAACTATGCAACGTTTTTCAACACTAGTGCATAAATGTATTTTCGCTTCTCGCCTTGATTAAGATTTGCAGTAAATTTAGAGCGTTTCTCCAAGAAAACACTCGAGACAGAGGCTTAACGCACAACACACCACATCGCAATACAACACAATACATAAGGGCGAGGAGCAGTGGCTCAAAAAGTTGCAGGAGCGCCGCACCCATCAAATCGTCAGCCGCATTGCCTGTTTTAGCCGCCTTGCAGACGCCATCGCCATCGGCACATTTTGATATATATATAGAGAGAGAGGGAGACATGTCACGTAGTGTGCGCGCCGAGACACGGAGCCGGGCCAAGGATGATATCAAGCGTGTTATGCAGGCCGTGGACAAGGTGCGACACTGGGAGAAGAAATGGGTGACCATCAGCGACACGACAATGAAGATCTACAAATGGGTGCCGATCTCCTCGAACAGCGAAAAGAAGTCAAAGCAGTTGCAGCTGAGCAACAAGATCAGCGACAAGGAGAACTCCCAAAAGGGCACGCCTACTCCGCCCCAAATAACGCCCAGCTATGCCGGCCTCACCGCCGACGATTCCAATACATGTGAGTCTAAGTCTCAGTCTCAGCCTCAATTTCAGTAAATAATCATGTGTCTCTCTCCATTTGGCTGGCAGGTTTCTCCGTTGTTAGCGACAGTCAGGGCGCTGACTTTGTGTCAAGCATGCCCTTCTCGGAGGACTCCAATTCGCAGGGTAGCGATGGACCGGTGAAACGCTTGAAGACGAGCGATTAGCCAGATTCACCACACATTTATCATCAGCTAAGCGACTGTGAGTGTGTGTGCGTGCGTGTGTGTGTATCGATTTACATAGAAAAATAGTATAAATATATTTTTTGTGTTCTAGAGATTTAAGCTAATTTGTTAATAAGTACGACGATAATCATCTGCCTCACCGAGACTTAAGCAATTCTCCTAAAGGTCTAAGCATAAGTAATTATATACAAGTCTAAATACATATAATTAGAATATACGTGCACACACACCCGCACACACACACACACGCGCACACACACACCTGCACACACATATACACACACACACACACTCGTATGCAATACTTCGCAATTTGGTTAAGCCTAATCTTTGTGTAAAACTGTACAACTTTTGTCGTCCCCATTTGTGAAAGTGTTGTCCCCAAATTATATATATATATATGTATGTATGTATGTCTACGTCCTAGCATTTAGCACAAATACTTATATATCAATTTATTTATTTGCACAAACAATAAAAACAAGAAAATAAATCTGAAAATGTTTATGTTTATGCTGAAAAGAAGATTCGCTGGTTTCTTTTGTTTCGTTTCGTTTTGTTTTGTTTTTTTTTTATATATTTTTTATTTTATGTTTTTTCTTTAGTTTTTCATTTTGTATAATAAAAAAAAATTAATTTCTTTCAACAAATAGTTTTTCATTCACTTGACATTAAATATACATACATTAACTCTCTCCACATCTTTTCACATTATCATTGTAGTATATATATATTTATATATATTTATATATATTTATATATATGTATATATATATATATATATATTTATTTATATAGATGTAAGGTTGCCAGCCAGGTTGTGTTCTAGGCTGGATGCCGTCAACTTGGTTGGAATACGCCGAACATACGAACGTATTTATTTAGTTCATCTTTCACTAAAATTTATGCTAAAAACACGCTTAACTGAAAGGAAGCACAGATTTGCAAGAGTTACAAAACTTTCGATGACCAAAAAAAAAAAAACAAATGACAGAATCAATAAAAGGATTAAAACATTAGTTTAAATATATAAAAAATGTTACATGTTAATTACACACACAAACAAAGCTTCGCTTTTGTTTTACAAACAAACAAAATACATACATATATATATATATATATATATTTATAGATATGTATATATATATATATATGTATATATTTATGTATAATAGTACACATACATACATGTGTGCATATAATAATAAGTAAATTTAAATACCAAAATTTTAAAAAGGGGGTGACAAACTTCAACATGGCTCATGCACTATGGAATGTCTTGGAAATTTAATGCATATGTAAAACTTAACCACAGAGAAATGCAAAATGTAGCACAGACAAAAATTACTTTAAAATTGATTGTGTGTAATAAAATAAATAATTATATTAAACGCATTAATCTACATACGTCATACATTTGTTTAAACTTTTAAGCACAAAAGTGTTTCGTCTTTCCGCTTTTTTCTCCTCTTTGTTCACATTTTTATTTTTTAATTTGTTTAGGTTCTTATATTTTGTTATTAAGCTTGTGTTTAGTTTTAATTTCTGTTCTTTTTTAGCGTAGTTTTTTTTTTTTTTATTTTTTTTTTTTTTTTAGAAAAAATATAGAAATTCCGCTTGGATTGTTTTAAATTTGTTGTTGTTTTGTATTGCTGTTGTTGTGGTTTAGTTTTTGCTTTTTCTTTTGTTTCGTTTTTCATTTTTGTTTTTATTTTTATTTTTATTTTTTATTTCGTTTTTTGTTGTTTTGCGCTAAAAAAAAGACGCCTAGCTTATAAATGATGTCTGTCTTTTTGAAAGTTTAAACAAATACAAATACATACATAGTATAATGATATCGTCGCGTTGGTTTTTGCCTTGTATACATAGACATTTAGATACATAAGTATATAGTTAATATTGTCATTTAGCGTTCAGAAAAATATATACTCTATGCCTTTTTACAATTCATATTCATTTTTTTTTTGTTTTAGTTTTTTTTCTTCTTTCTTTTTCCTTCTGTTTTTGCAGTCAGGCGCAAAAATGGCTTTAAAAAAAAAAAAAAAAAAAAAAAACATTTTGGCTTTACAAAGTTTTCTTCTTTTTTTTTTGTTTGTTGCTGTGTATGGGTGTGTGTGTGTTTGTGTGTGTGTGTGTGTGTGTTGAATGCGCGCCTCAAAATTGGACTCGAAAATATTTGTTTTTGTGGCGCTTTCATTTAGAGATTCGCTGGCTTTTCAAAAGGCGCTCGTCTTCGGGGCGCTTCAGCTTAGAACCGAGTTGGCGCCGCCTAACTTAGTGTGCATACATATGCATATGTATGTGTATTTAGTATATGGTATATAGTGTATATATATATAAATTTATATATAGATTTATATAATAATAATTGCAACAGTTGATTTTTTTTTCTCTTTTCTTTTTTGTTTGCTTTGTTTTTTTTTGTTGTTGTTGTTGTTAGTTTATCGGGGCGCTTCCATTTGCCCCCCTCATTCGTCTCCAAGGATATGTGTTTGCGGGGGTAGTGTAAAAGTGAGGGCGGGGGTAAAGATTGGTTTCAGCGAGGGTATATATATATATATGTATATATATGTGTATAAACTCTAGACTTTAGTGGTTTGCCTTGTGTTGCCCTCGCTGCTGGCTGCATGCCAAGATTTGTGATGCTTGCTATGTTGTTGTTGTTGTTGCTGCTGTTGTTGTTGCTGTTGTTGTTCTTGTTGCTTATGTTGTTGATGTTGTTGGATGAGTCGATGCTATGTGTGCAGCGGATAACTATTTGGGCGTGCCTTCGATCGCTGCTGACGTCGACAGCTGAGCGATCGCGATACCGCTGCCTGATAAGCTTGATATCAGCACTCTGACTTATCCTCCTCGACCAGATACTGTGTGTCCTTGCCGGTATCGGCCGATGGGTCCAGCTCCCTGGTGCGCAGCTGCAACTGCGGCGATGACTTGTGCGTAATGCTGCTGGGCGCTATTATGGCCGAGGCGGGCTCCGTGAACGACCCAGAATGGCCCATGGCCTTTGACTTGGACGGTTCCTGTGGCACATCATAGATGCCTATCCAGACACACAGAGAGAGAGAGAGAGAGAGAGAGTGAGAGAGGGAGAGAGGGAGAGAATGCAGAGTTGAGATGTATTTGCTTAATACAATTCTTTTGTTGCCTTAAACTTAACCTTAATCATTTAATCAATTATTTATTGATGCAAAAATTGTTTGCATATGAAACCGAAATAAAACTAAAAAAATGATTATTTTATTTAAATATAAAACTCTCTTCTTTTTGCATAAAAGTCAATAAATCAAAAATGATTATGGATACTCAAAGAATGTTGCAGTTGTGGAAGCCAACTGATATAATTCAATCTAAGTTGTTAATTTAAAAAGCATATCAACAATTTCTATAATTAAGGCCATTATTTGAATGAAAGAGAAAAAAAAAATGATTTTGTGACATGAATCTGACAAGATAAAAATCATTATTATTCCACATAGAAGCCAACTGAAGATTTTTTCGATTAAATTGAAATTATTATGTACGGTTCCAGTTTCTTTTTATACTCTGACACCGAAGGTAAGCACTATGAGGCTAGCAAATCCATAAGATTGATAATCGAAAATCGATAAAAATCAATAGTCGCAATTCAATAAAAATCGATAATCGCAAATCGATAAATCCACATATCTCCCACAATTTTGACACCAGTCATCAAATTTGGTTGGTAGGTTTTTGGCAATGTCCTTCAACATTTTGGACCACGCCCAATCCCGCCCCCAAAAACGATAAAAGATCACATCTCCAGCAATTTAAAAGCTGTACTTGTGAAACTTGGCGGAAAGATTACTAATTGTCTACTTCCGCTCTCTGTGGCACCTGTCATCAGATGGTATTTCACAGTCGGTTACGCCCGACTGCAAGGTGCTCTCTTGTTTCATTGTTACTTACCTGAGCCATTGCTCATGCCCGGATCGGTGTTGGTGCCCGATTGTACAGCATCGTACATGGGATTGGCAAAGTCGCGAGCCTTGTTCGCATTCACCGTCTGCAGGTTGTAGCCCTCGATGGGCGCCATGTCGTTGGCGCCGGGTGCCGAGGCGCCCGGAAAGCCGCTCTCGCTGAACTCCACATTCGAGCCGTGCCGGAAGGTGACGCTCTGGGATGACGTTATTGCTGGCATGCGCGCCAATTTGCCGCTGCAGAACACACAGAGTACAAAAAATCAGTTGGGAGTCGTTCGAATTTCGGTTTCAATCAAGTCTATGCAAAACAAGTTGTGCATTGATTTCGAAACTCAAAACAAATTATTCAAAATATCTAAGAAGTCAAAGCGACGAAGGATCAAGGTGAACGGACAGAGGCCATTTTCCAAGTGGTCGCGCAAAGATTTTTCATTCGATTTTTGATTAGCTTTGAAAATCGGTTGGGTGTACTTACAATGGACGTTTGCGGATGACATACCAGGCACCGGCGGCGGCCATCATGACCAGGAGTATGACCATGATGGGCACGACGACAGCGGTGACATTGGCGCCGCCATGCCCGAAGGCGCCCGTTGTGCTCCGCTCGCAGTGGTCGCCCTTGAAGTCGGGCGGACAGTCGCAGTATAGCTCGCCGCGATCATCCTCCTTGCAGAGGCCGGTGTTCTGGCACGGACAGATGCGTGGTGAGGGCCGTGGGCGTTCCGCTGCCGCATCGCAAATGACTTCGGCGGTGCTGCGATGCGAGGGCAACGGGCCGGAAGTGTCTGGACAGGCGCAACGATGTCCGCCGGGCACCAGCAGACACAGATGCGAGCAGCTCGACTCGTGGCACGGATTCCGCAGCGAGGTGTTGTACCGCTTCTCGTGGTAGACCTTCAGGCCGGACGGATTGACGAGGTTGCGATGCACCACCACCTGAACGCCGCGCCCAAACTTATCCTGGCGCAGCAGCTCGCCCGTGTCGCGTGTCACCCAGAACATATTGGATTCGAACAGATCCAGGGAGACGGGATGACGCAGTTGGTCACCCTTAACGATGGCCTTGCGTCGTGAGCCGTCGGCTCGCATCGATTCAATGGCATTGAGCTTGGTATCCACCCAGTAGATGATATGATCCTGTGCGTAGTCAATGGTGAGGCCAGCGGGATGACGAATTTGTTCGGTAATAAGCGGACGTCGCTTGGATCCATCCATCCAGGAGACTTCGATTTTGGGCGCAGAGCCAGCGTCGGCCCAATAGATGCGTCCCAGCTGTGGATTCACTGCTATAGACGTCGGCACCTCCAATCCAGCATTCACAATCGATCTGCGATAGCGTCCATCCGTTTTGGCCACCATGACGCGACCACGCGGCTTCGAACCAGTCCGATCCACCTCTGTCCAGTATAGATTCGAGGCCAGCCAATCAACGGCAACGGCCGTCGGCTTCGAGCCACCCTTCATATTGAGGTCCTGAGCAAAACCGATCTTTGCCTGGCCATCTGCCGCATTCACCATATAGGAGCGCTTGATTGTCTTATCGTAGCTATCCGCCCAGAATACGATCTGCTGTTGGGCATCATAGTCGAGGGCCTCGATGCGTTTCTCCGCTGCAATCACATCGAACTCCTCCTTCTTTTGGAGATCAAGGCCGCGTATTTCGGGCCCATTGGCAAACACCAAAATGACATCATCCTTCTCGGCCTTGCAGACGCCACTGCTGCCATCGGAGAGATGGAAACCGTCGCGACAGCTACACGAATATGTGCCATTCATGTTGTGGCACTGATGCGAGCATGTGTGTTGCCTTGTTGCACACTCATCGACATCGGCGCAACGCTTTTTGTTGTCCGGCGCAATGATGTAGCCCGGATAACAGGTGCATATGTAGCCGCCATCGGTTAGATTGTGACAATGATGCTGACAACCGCCGCGATTCTGTTCCGAGCAGCTGCTCGTATGATGGCAGCCCAGTTCATCGCTGGCATCGCCGCAATCATCAGAGAAATCACAGACCTGGGCACGTTCGATGCAGTGCTTGTTGGCGCACTGATATTGGGTATAGAGATCGCAGGGCTTCTGTTTGCTGGCACAGAGGGTCATGTTATTCTCGTCGCTGCCATCGCCGCAGTTGTCGATGCCATCGCAGATCTGATAGCGGGCAACGCAACGATGATTGGCGCACTGGAAGCGTCGCAGGGTGTCGCAATTGAAATCGCTGCAGACCTTGGGATCCTCGTCGCTGCCATCGCCGCAGTCATCGGTGCCGTCGCACAGATCCGTCAGGGATACGCACAGATTGTTGGTGCACTGGAACCGTGATTCCGGACAGAAGCGGCCGCCGGGGAATCGGGGCGGACAGCCAACCTCATCGGACATATCGCGACAATCGCGATCGCCATCACAGCGGAAATAGCTGGCGATGCAGTGGCCCGAGGCGCATTGGAATGTGCCATTCTTGCACTGATAACCCTCGCAGTTCATCTCATCCGAGTTGTCGCCGCAGTCATCCTCGTGATCGCATTGCCAGCGGGATGAGATGCACTTGCCGTTGCCGCATCTAAACTCCGATTCGGAGCACTCCCGATAGCGACCCTTGCAAATCGCATCGTTCTCATCGCTGGCATCGCCACAATCATCCGCAAAGTCGCACATCCATTGCCTGCGAATCAAAAAATTGGGAATACGTTAAGGACAATCTTCAATTGGATTTATCACCTATCAGCTATATTCATTTGGTGTTTGTGGAATCTGGAATTGAATGAATCATATTTACTTTGGTATGCATCGATTGTTGCCGCATTTGAAGTCCGTCTCTGCGGAGCACTTGGGGCAATTGTCCGGTAGCTCGTCGCTGTTGTCCCGACAATCGTCCTTGCCATCGCAGAACAGCCACTTGGGTATGCAGCGATAGTTCGATTGGCCAGGGCAGCGCTGCCAGCCGGTGGTGCAGTTCCTCTGACGGCACATGTAAGCCGGTTCATCGGAATCGTCGCCGCAGTCATTGTCAAAGTCGCACATCCACAGCTGCGGAATGCAGCGTCCATTCTTGCAGGAAAACTCCGTGTCCGGATCGCAGCTGCGCTTGTCTACACGGGCCACAAAATTGCGAAATCGGTTTAGTTTTGGTTTGATCAGAACAACATATTTACTAATTATTAAATTAAAATCACTTTGAAAACAATAAATGATTTTTGCTTCTAAATTTCTAAAGCTTCAATGTAGTTTTATCCATCAATTATATTTCTGAATCATAGAAATACAAGCAAATATTTGAAATTCAATTTTAGATTAAGTATTTTGAAATTAGTATTCCTCACTTTATTATTTATTTTAATCTTTAGATTTTTAATTCAATGGATTTTAACTCTTCCAATTTGTATTCAATTGTATACTTAAAAAGAGACGTGCAAAAATTGAGAGAGTTGGAATCAGTACTTACGACAGACAAGGGGATCCTCATCGCTGCCATCCTTGCAATCGGCATCGCCATCGCAGCGCCAGCTGTCGAGGATGCAGCGTCCACTCGTCTTGCACTTGAAATCGGATAGCGGACAGGGCAGTTCGCAGTTCTGCTCATCGCTGCCATCGCCGCAGTCATCGACGCCATCACAGATCGTGGCGGATGGGGTGCAGTTGGTGTTCTTGCATTGGAAGGTGCCGGCGCGACAGTGGCGCGGTGTACAGGTGCTCGGCTCATCGGAGCCATCCTTGCAGTCCTTCTCGCCGTCGCATTTCCAGAACCAGGGTATACACTTCTCATCGCTGCCGCCGCACAAGTGCTGCCCGGCCGTACAGTTGGCTATGCACGTCTTGGAGTCGCGCGCCAGATAGAACTGATTGGGACAGGCGCACTTGAAGATCGGTGCACCCTCCTCAATGTAGCCCTCGATATTCAGGTAGGTGGACTCCGGGGGCGGTGCTATCAGACACAGATGCGAACAACCGCCGTTATTCGTGCCGCACGGATTTGTATAGGGCAATTGCCGTAGCGGATGATTAATGTGCAGATCATATGGACGATGTGTTGTATTTCGTAGGACCGTGTAATTGGCGCCATGGAACTTATTGGCGCGCACAATTGCCTTGAGATTCCAATCGCTCCAGTAGATGAAGTCATCGAACAGGCTCAGCGCAAACACATGCGGCACACTGTTGCCAGATAGGACAATGTGACGATGACGTCCCTCCAGATCCGTGTATGCAATGTAATCCAAATGTGCATCGGCCCAATAAATGCGATCCGTGAAATAATCAATGGATAGGGCATTTGGCCACGCGATCCCATCATTCCAGTTAAGAATGCGCGTAAAATTCGAGCCATCCATGCCCATTTTGGCGATGTAGGCCTGCAGATGCCAGGATGTGAAGTACAAGTAACCAATGCCCGGATGTACAACGATCGCACGGGGATCAACGACACCACTGCGCAGCGTTTTGCGCTTGGTGCCATCCAGTTCGGAGACATCCAGATTCTTTGAGTGCCTGTCCAGCCAGTAGAGTTTGCGACCGACCCAATCAATCGCGATGCCCTCCAAGCCATGCGAATCATGCCGGATGACAGCCTCACGTTCCGTTGGTAGATCAACGCTGGCATCCGAGTATTTGGCACGGAATATCGTCTTGGCTGTCACATCACAGAAATACATATACTGATCCTTGATATCAAAGTCGAGGGCCACCACATTCATCAGATCCTGATGCATCAGGTTATATTGATGGCCATCGACTGACATGTTGCGCACATAGTACTTGTTGGTGAAGATCAGCCACGGCGGAATGTTATCCTTGCGCTTGCAAGTATGCTCATCGTTCTGTCGCTCATAGTAGGTCTCGTCGCATTTGCAGTAGAAGCTGCCTGGCGTATTCGAGCAGTGCTGCGAACAGGCACCCGGTTGTTCCAAACATTCATCCACATCCGCGCATGCTTTTCCATCGGCCAGAAGCCTGGAAAGAGAGAGATAGAGAATTAGATTCATATGCGATTCCAATTGGAAACTGGGAAAGTAGTACATGGAGCTGGTCACTAATCCAATCAGTTCGTCAATTAGTTCGTCAATCAGTTCATCAATCAGTTCGTCAATCAGTTCGTCAATCAGTTCGTTAATCAATTCGTCAATCAGTTTGGCAATTAGTTCGTCAATCAGTTCGTCAATCAGTTCGTCAATCAGTTCGTCAATCAGTTTGTCAATCAGTTTGTCAATTAGTTCGTCAATCACCCATTATAATTGGGGAATAGGTGGATAACTTACTTGTAGCCCTCGTTGCAGTCACAGTAGTAGCCGGTTAGGGTATCCACGCACTTGTGGCCACATTGATTGATCTCGACCTTGGCGCACTCATCCACATTGCAGTGGGCGGGCTCATCGGATTCGTCTGTGCAGTCGGCCACTTTGTTACAGACCAGACTGTAATCGATGCATTGGCCATTGGTGCAGGCAAATTGTCCGTGGGCACAGGTGACATTCTCCTTCTTACAGTTGACCTCATCGGAATGGTCGCCGCAGTCGTCTTCGCCATCGCATCGATATTGATTGCGTATACACTTGAAGTTCTGGCACGTGAACTCCAATGGGGAGCACGTCTTGTATTTGGAATTGCAGAATTTGCCCTCATCAGTGCCATCGCCGCAATCATTGTCATGATCACAAATCCAGCCCTGATATTAACGACAGTTGATTTTACAGCATTTTCTCTGTAAATGAGAATCTGAGAACTTACCTTGTTGATACAGCGACCGTTGCCGCAGGTAAACATATCCTCACCGCATGGCTGTTGGGTGGCGCAATTGTGGAGCGTTGTATTCTCATCGGCGCCATCAACACAATCGGGATCCCCATCGCATATCCACTTTTTGGGTATGCACTGGGCCCGCTGCCACGACTTGTTCTCCACGCACGTGAACTCAGTCTCTTCGTCACATTTCCGATCGTCTGTGCAAAACGGGACGAAAACGAAAATCAAATCGATTTAGGTTATGACTTAATATAATACTCACTGCACTGATGCCGGTTGTCCTCATCGCTGTTGTCCAGACAGTCGTTGTCGCCATCACAGATATAGATGCGTGGAATGCAATTGCCATTGTCGCAGGTGAATAGATCGCCAAAGCAGGTGCGACCCTCGGATTTGCAGTAATCTGGCGGCTCGTCGGCACCATCGCCGCAGTCATCGTCACCATCGCAATACCAGGTGGCCGGAATGCATCGATGATTCGGGCAGCGGAAGCTGTTCGTTGGACAGGTGCGCTGACCACAGTGCAGGGGATCCTCGTCGGAGTTATCGCCACAATCGTTATCGCCATCGCACAGCCAATAGGGTTCGACACAGATGTTTGTCTTCTCGCACTTGAGATGGTTGGGTGGACATGTGGTGTTCATGGGACAGCGTTCATGCGTTTCATCCGAGGTGGCGTTATCCTTGCAATCGTTGACACCATTGCAGACCTGCGCCTGCGGAATACAGCGTCCATTTGCGCAGGTGAACTCGCCATCGACACAGGGCGGATAGCTGCAGTTAAGCTCATCGGAGCCATCCTTGCAGTCGTTCTCGTGATCGCATTTCCACGACTTGAAGATGCAGCGACCGTTATTGCAGCGGAACTCATTTGGCGAGCACGAATGATAGGCACAATAGTTAAGCTCCTCATCGGAATTATCACCGCAATCGTCATCACCATCGCAGGACCACATCCGTGAAATGCACTTGCCATTCTGGCAATAGAACTTGCTCGACTCGCACGTATTATTTCGGGGCGCACACATGCGACCCTCATTGACGACCTTGGAGTTCTCATCGCATTTGCATTCAGCCTTGCCATTCGGTGCCGGATGGCAGCTTTGCGCACATCCACCGTTATTAATGCGGCACGGATTCACATTGCACTTCTGCCGATCGGAGCTAAAGATCCGTATATCGCGTGGCGAGTCCTCCAATCGCTTCACCATCTCCACCATATTGGCGCCCGTATGCTTCTCGGCCCGATAAACGCCACGCAGTTGGACGTCCGTCCAGTAGATGTAGTTGCGGAACACGGTGATCGCAAACGGATAAATGGTAGCCGCTACAAGCAGTTCCCGATTCCGACCATCCAAATCGGCGCGTTCAATTTTCTCGCGCACCGCATCCGTCCAGTATAGCTTACGGTCGTCATAGTCTATGGCCAGACCACTGGGCTGTGACAGCTCCTTATCGACAATGGCCCGCTTCAGCGAGCCGGCCATCGTTGTGCGGAATATCTTGCCGGAGGTACCGAAGCGACCCCAGTCAGTGAAGAAGAGTGTCCCATTGCATGGATCGAGGACAATGGCACGTGGGCGTTCGACCCGTGCAATCATCACCAGTTCTGTGCCAACGAGATTCATCGCATAAATGGAGTTATTCGAGCTATCCGTCCAATAGATCTTGCTCTGCGTCCAGTCGTACGCAATGCCCTCCGGATTGATGCCCTTGTTGAGGACCACAGTGATATCGCTGTGGCTTGGCTTATTCGCCTGCGTGTAGGCAATTTTCGCCCATGGCCGGATCTGGGTGTACAGCATGCGATTGCCGGCAAAATCAAAGTCTACACCGACCACATTGGTCAGATTTGAAAGGGGCGTAAATGGCACCTCCGTTGAATGCGGATTCAAATTAACTGCTCGAATCTCCGTTCGGGTCGCGAACACCAAATACTCATTGACCGTCTCACATGTGTGATTATCGGCACCCAGTTTTCCTGTGGCGCAATCGCAACGATAGTTCTTCGCCGTTGAGGGTTCGGGTGGAAAACTGAAGCATAGCTGATCGCAGCCGCCGTTACCCAGTTGAGCGCAGGGATTATTATCATCGGCCGGCTGGTTGTTAATGTCATAGATGGCAATGTCGCGCAACTTTTCGAGATTGGTGCGCACTCGTGTGACTTCGGTATCGTTGCCAAACAGCTTGGATGCCTTAAACACTGTCATCAGATTGCGATCCACCCAGTAGACATCGTTGCGGAAAATGGCAATGCCCATCGGATTGGGCAGATCACGTCGGATCACCTTGCGATTGACGCCATTATACGAGATCTTCTGTATGGTGTCCAGCTTGGAGTCAACCCAAAACACATCGTGCGTCTGCATATCGATGGTGAGATCACGTGGCAACGATATGCCCGATGTGACCAAGGGCTGCCATTTGCTGCCATCGAGCATCGCTTTGCCAATACGCGGATGCTGACCGTAATCGATCCAGTAGAGCAGTCGCTTGATCGGATTGACGGCCAACTCACGCGGCGCATCGTTGGTCGTCTTGACGAGCACCTTGCGATTGCTGCCATCCAGCCAACAGACCTCCACATAGTTCTCATGCGGATAGACGTTTGTGAAGTACATGTTGCCAGCCACCCAGTCAATGGTCAAGCCGCGTATGCCATTGCTACCGATGCCATCCTTGACCACATGCTGCACATCTGTGCCGTTGGGTCGCGAACGGAAGATGCCGTTCCAGTAGCCGCGATTGAACTCCGCCCAGTAGATCCACTGATCACGGAACATCACGTCCACATGCAGTATATGATGACCCTGTCCGCTGACGGGTACCATTGCTTCCGAGCTATCGGTTAGACTGTAACCGCGTATCATGTCCAGTTGGGAGACGACGGCAAATGTCTTGTACGCCACGCAATTGATCTCGTTCTCCTTGTGGTAGCCAATGCCGCAGGCACATGTCCGCGATGCAGCAGCTCCTGGTATGCAGAGCTGCTTGCAACCACCGTTGCCCGTCTGGCAGGGATGCTGCATGAGTGCCCGCTTCTTGTAGATCATCATGCTACGCAAATCGGGCTCGTTGTCGACAATTGTCTTGGGATTATCACCTCGCGGCAAATCAACTCGCACAATTTTCTCGTACACCGGGTCCAGGTAATATAGGCGATGGTCGAGGACACCCAGGCTGCGTGGACGCGATATGGCCTGGTCCTCATTGAGTATGATCGTGTGATCTTCACCATTGTAGTCCATCGAACAGATCGATGCTGAGTGGCTGGTACTGTAGTAGATCATCTTCTTCTCAATGTCGAGGGCAATGCTCTCCGGATGTTTGAGGTCCTTGCGCAGTACACGCGCATCCTGCCCATTCATATCGACCCGTGCAATTTTCACCGGCACCTCGAGTACACCCTCATCGATCCAGAACAGTTTACCCTCACTTGGATCGAGCACCAGTTGCTTGGGCTTGGACACGGAATTCTCGCTACCATCGTTCGCTAATATGACAGTGCGATACTTTTGCTTGCCATCCACACGAACAGCCTCAATGTTGCTGGCCACTCGATTGCCGATGTACAGATTGCGGCCGAGCCAATCGAATGCGATGGTATACGGTGCTCCCACAATGCCCGTATCGATGTCGAGGAAAAGTGTTTTATTGCCGCCGCCGTAGGGTGTCGTAAAGATGGTGCAATTCTCGTCGTCATCCTCACGTCCCTGCACCCAATACAACGTCTCACCCTTCCGGTCAAAGTCCAGGCCAGTGCTGCTCTCAATGCCAATAACGGGCGCCAACGCACCGGCTCTGGCATCGCCGCCGTTCAGCGGTAAGTCAACAATTTGGGTACCCTTGACAACCATCAGATAGGGATTCTCCTCTTCGATACACCGACCCTCGCTGAGCAATCGATAGCCTGGTTTGCATTTGCATGAGTAACCCTCGCTGGCACTGGGACTGAGCAGGCACAGATGCTGACAGCGGGCCTGGGCACACGGATTCGGATACATCGGTTGCAGTGATGCATGATGCACGTGTATCGACAGCGGTTGGCTAATTAGATGGGAGACAACGGTTTGATTCTTGCCACGGAACTTATTTGCAGACAGTACACGGTTCAGCTGACGATCTGTCCAGTAGAGCGTGTCCTCGAACAGAGACAGCGAGTGTGGATGCAACAGATAATGACTGCTGGCTAGCACCTGCTGACGCCCCGTACCGTTGTAGTAGCAAAAGTCAATAAAGTCCAGCTTGGAGTCGGCAAAATAGACGCGTTTCGTCGCAATATCCAATGTCAGGCCATTGGGCCAGTAGATCTTCGTATTGATGATAGTCTTGCGCATGGTGCCATCCATGCCGATCCTTTCGACACGCGGATTCTCGCCCCAGTCAGTCCAGAAAATGAAGCGGGCCTCGGGACTGGGATCAATGCACATGCCACGCGGCTGTGTTATATTCTCTCGAACGAGCACCAATCGATTGGACCCGTTCTCGGCGGACACCTCAATCGTGTTCAGTTTGCTGTCCAGCCAGTAGAGATTCTTGGCAATCCAATCGTAGGCCAGACCCTCCACCAAATCTAGGCCGGTGTTGATAATCTCCTGTGGCTCCATACCATGATCCAAACGCGATATCTTCTTCAGTTTCATGTCGCTCCAGAAAATGGTGCCCGTGTGCATATTCGAAGCGGTCGCAACCACATTCTCCACAATGATGGGCACACGCTCCAGTCCCTGCTCCTTTAGATCGGCGACCAGTATCGAATGCCTATTCGAGATGATCAGGAAGGCAGCCGTATGATTGACAGCCTTGCACGTATGCTTATTAGGGCCGAGCACATAGCCGGGTGTGCAGGAGCAGAAATAGGAACCTTTTGTGTTCGTGCATTCCTGCGAACAGAGACCGGGTGGATCGCATTCATTGGTATCCACGCAGGTGAAACCGTCTTGGCCAATCTCCGAGCCGGGTGGACACACACAGAGCGCACCGCTGGGCGTCTTCTGGCAAAAACTGGAGCACTGACCCGTCTGATGTGCACACTCGGCCAGATCACAGCCCTCACCCTCATCGGCACCATTGGGACAGTCCATCGTATCGTCACAAACCGAGGTGATGTTCACGCAGCGTTCGGCAACGCCCGGACACTGCCACTGACCGTGTGGACACTTGAAGGGTGGCGGCACACAGGCATGCTCGGTACCCTCGTCAGAGTTGTCACCACAATCGTCCTTGCCATCGCAGATGTACGCCTTGAACACACAGTTTGTGTTGTTGCATTTGAAGAAGTTCTGGGCACAGGTGATCTGGCCGCAATCCTCTTCGTCTGAGTGATCCGAACAGTCATTGGATCCATCACAGTGCCAAGCAATCGGTATACAGAAACCAGTCGATTTGCATCGGAAATGCTTCTCCAAATTGCACTGATTGGGACCCATCGAAGGGCAGCCAAGCTCATCGCTGCCGTCGTTGCAATCGGGTATGCCATCGCATTTGTAGGACTCTTCGACGCACTGCCGCAGATCGGCGCACTTAAACTGATTGGCCAAGCAGCTAATCGGTGGACAGTCCTTCTCATCCTGCCTATCGAAGCAATCGTCGTCGCCGTCGCACACCCAACTCTGCGGTATACAATGCCCCGTCCTTGGGCAAGTGAACTGGAAATATGCACAGGTCTTCTCCGCACAGAAGTCACCCTCATCGCTGCTGTCGCCGCAATCATTCTCGCTATCGCACTTCCACATGCTGGGAATGCAGCGACCGTTCGCACAGGCGAACTGAGATGTTGCACAGGTCACATTGCCACAGTCCACTTCATCCGAGTTATCGCCGCAATCGTTTTCCTGGTCGCACCGGAAGTTCAGCGGAATGCAGCGACCCGATTTGCATTGGAACTCATTCGAGCCGCAGGTCGGTTCTATTAAAGAATAATAATCAAATTGGGTTGGGTTGTTAACTTAATTATGCACACAAGGAAAGTAAGATAAAAATCAATTGAATACTAATTATATTTGAGTGCAAGGCATTTAAGACTCTTGACAACAATTTATACTTTGTCCCTTTGAGAGCAGGGTATGACAAGTAAAATGATTCACATTGAAATCAATGACAAATTGTTGATTTGGAAACAATTTACAAAAAGTAACGATCTTTGAGGTGATACGAAATATCTGCCGATCATGAAATATGTCCTCAGATGGAATATGTTTTAAAATATTAATTTATATAACTTGATCAACAATTTCAACTTCGATTGTTTTATATTTTACTCAAAATAAAAAATATAGAAAATGATTTCGATTTTAGAAAGCGGTTCAATGAAATGATTCAAATAGTTTCGATAAATATTCTCCATGGATCTTAATATATATTAGGATCTTCTGAAATTCATTATGGGACATACAATCCATATGCTCCACTTACTTGTGCAATTTTGTTCCTCATCGCTGTTATCCAGACAGTCATCGTCGCCGTCACAGACCCAGGACTTGGGTATGCAACGCTGATTGTTGCAGGTGAAGTCCCATAAATTGGGACAGGGCTGGACGGGTGGCTCGGCACTGGGATCGGGAATGCAGCTGATCTGATCATCGGCCAATCGTTCGCCATACGGACAGGAGCAACGCGATTGCAAACGGCTCGCAGCACCAGCTGTTGTCGTCATTTCGCTGGTATTCTGTGAGATGGGTATGGCAAAGCATATCTTCTGGCAGCCTCCATTGTACAGGTGGCATGGCTGTGTTTCAGCGATACGCTGCACATCGCGACTGTAGACTTTGACACCATACAATCGATTCGTTTGCGGTTCGCGGACCATCATTTCCTCCTGTTCGCCGGTGAGCTTGTGCAGCCGAATGATTGCATCGAGTCGCCAGTCCGTGATGTACATCCAATCGTTGTGTATTACAATGGAGAACGGATGACGGACGAGGCGAGAGTTAACCGTCTTGATGTCCGTGCCATCGAGATTGGCATGCTGTACATGATCTAGTAGAGCATCGCACCAGTACACACGATCCTCCTTGAAGTCGATGGAGAGGCCGTTGGGCCAGCCGAGAGTCACGTTGCGGAATACCAAAAGGCCAGTGCCGTCGGTATTCGCACGCGTTATATTCGCCGGACGATCCCATTCGGAGAAGAATATATATCCCCGATTCGGATGTACAACGATGGCGCGCGGACGCTTCAAATTCTTGAGCAATGTTCGACGATGCGTGACATTCCGGGTGGAAAGCACATTCAGTGTGCCCTTGCGTGAGTCGATATAGTACAGATTCTTGGATGCCCAATCGACAGCGAGACCCTCAACGCCTTCATTCTGTGAGGCGAGGACAATTTCGCGACCGGTGCCGTTGCGATGCACCCGATAGATGACATCCTGCAGTACATCCGAGTAGTAAATGAACTCGTCGCGTGCATCAAAATCGAGGCCGACAAAGCGAGCGCGTCGCGAGACAACGGGAAGGATCGCATCACTGAAACCCTCAATAACCGGTTCGAGGACCTTGCCCTTGATAAACCGCTGCTGCGAATACATGAGGAACTCTCGCACCAGTTTACAGTTCTTCAGATCCGTTTGCAATTGGTAGCCGGTGTGGCAGGCACAACGGAACCCAAGTCCCGTCGGTGCTCCCTTAACGGCCGTCACAATACACATGTGATTGCAGCCGCCGTTGGTGTGGCCGCAAGGATTCGAGACATGCGGCTGACTGAGCGCATGCACCGCTATGATGCCCTTCGGTTCGCGTATGTCCTTGGCCTTGTAGGTCACCTGAATGGAGCTGGGACCCTCATACTTGTCGACGGACATAATGCCCTGCTTGGTGGCATCAGTCCAATAAATTCGATTCTCGAACAGGGCCAGACGCGATGGACTCGGCACCTGCTGACCCCGCAGCACCATCACTCGCTGTCCACCCTCATAGTCAACGGATTCGATGTAGTCCAGCAGGGAGTCGCACCAGAAGACACGCTTCCCAATAATGTCGACAGTGACGCCACTCGCCTTGTATGCCGCTTCCGATACAATTGAACGGGCATGGGTGCCATCCATATGGGCGCGCAGCACTTGGCCGCCATCGGCGACAAACATCAGACCAGCGGTCGGATCCAGTGCCAAATCAGCGGGACTGGTCAAATTCGAGCCAAGGACAACGGCATGCCAATGTCCGCTCAGCTCAAACACATCGATTTTCTGACCAACCAAATCAGCAACATAGATCTTATCACCCACCCAATCGACAGCCAATGCAACCGGTGCCCAAGTGCCGGGCAGCGTTTGATCCAGCGGCGCCACAGCGCTGTTTAGCACATCCAATGGCAGCGATTGCACTTTCCGTGTCTTAATATCCGACCAATAGAGCGTATTGCGGGCATAATGGAAGGCAACGCCAGCGGCAGCGGTTGCATTTGCCAGCACCTTGGGATCGCTGTCGTGGGCGAACATCCGCATGATGGCCCGATCATGGGCGAATATCAGCTGCAGATTGTTCGCATCGGGTGCAATGCACTTGGACTCGTTGATTAGCGTATAGCCCTGGGCGCACTGGCATGTGTAGCTACCGGGCGTATTTGTGCACAATTGATCACAGTGGCCCCACTCGGCACACTCGTCCAGATCGATGCAGGTGCGATTGTCTGGCGCCAGACTCTGGCCGGGTCGGCAATAGCACACGCCGCCAGTCAGGGAGGGGCCGCATTTGAACTCACAGCTCAGCGCGGGACAGGAGGCGATGGCTGGAATAAAAACATATACCAACATTAAACAGATAAACAGTTAAAGGACTCACAAATTATGTTAAGCATAAGTATTAATTATTCTTAAATAATTGCACAATATTACTGAATTTTAAAATAAACTTCTTCAACAGCTTAAATTATTTCAAATTAATATAAATTGTAATTCAAATTGTATCAATTCCCTTCCTTACTTGAAATCAAAATGCTGTGCTTTGTTCAATGGTGGGGATGGAATATGGAGGATGAAGGATGATTGAGAGGATAATACTTACAACATGCCGTCTCCTCGTCGCTGCCATCCTCACAGTCGCGCTTGCCGTCGCACAGTTGCGATTTGAGGATGCACTTGGGTGCACCATTGACGCCGCCACGTGGGCAGAGGAACTTGTTATCAGGACAGGCGATGGCCGTGCAGTTGGCCTCGTCGCTCTCATCGGCGCAGTCGTGGTAGCCGTCGCAGTGGAAATTGTATGGAATGCACAGCGCATTCGTGCAGCGGAACTGCGCATGATGGCAGGGCGGGAAGTCTACAGTGAAGCGGCAAGTGGAAAATGTTAGGCGAACTATTGCTTGAGCAATTGTCTGTCTCATTGTACTCACTGCAGCCCTGCTCGTCCGAGTTGTCGCCGCAATCGTTGCGATGGTTACATTTCAGCGCCGCATCAATGCATTTGTGTCCATTGGCGCAGCGGAATTGATCCAGGTGACAGGCGACGCCATTGCAGCCATCCTCGTCGCGACCGGTGCGACAGTCCAGGTAGCCATCGCATCGCTTCTCCTTGGGCACACACGGTCCAGTCAGGCGTCCCTCAGCCGGAGCTGCACCATTCGCAGCGTTGCAAAAGACGTCTGTGTGTTGGCATTTGCGATGAGCTGTCAAAGGAGAAAAAAAAAACATAAAACATAAAAGGTTAGCTCTCTGTATCCAATTATATAAATAAAAAGCAAAAGCATAGCAGAGGACGGATGCAGGGATGCAGGAATGCTGGCGATAGCGGGGTCTCCAAAGATAGCGGGCTTCCAATTTAATTAATGTGCACAATAACAATAAAGACACAAAAGTTCCCTGCAATTAGTGAAAACAAGTCAAATCTAATTGTTCTAAGGAAGAAACCCCTTTTGCTTTATTCACTTCCGACTTCCACTGTGGGCTTTTTGTGGCAAACATTGACAACTTAAGTATATAATTATAATAATATGATATTATAAGCAAAATTTAAGATTGTGGCAAAGTAAGAGAGGACTAATCAAATTCGTATTTAGTCAGTTTGATACAGTAGTGATCCGAAACGTTCGAACCTTTTAAACTGACGAATTAGACAGACGGTAGAGAATATATTCAGGTCACATTTAACACAAATTGTGTCCATTTTGACCATGGTGTAAGTTCAGTTTTCGTTGCCAATAGTTGTCTTTGACTGGTTAGTCTCTAGCTGTGACACTAATTAAATGTCTGTGTGCTGATTGGTTGGGTGGTTGTCGAGTTGTCTGGTTTGGTTTGAGGTGATTAGGTTATTGGGTAGTGTCCCTGTCTTTACACTTAATTATGGAGCAACTAGCCAATATGAAGCTCCAATTGGCGCACACAGAGAGACAAGCCCAGAGGTGTGATATGTATTGACGTTGATTGTTGTTATTGGTACCGGCATGGTTAAGGGCTTGGCTAGGATTGCGTTGTCAGGATAGAGTCTGCCGGTGAGAGTCTACCAAAGACAAATTAATCAAATTTACATTATGTCAACACGCTGGCAAATGCCAGTTGTTAGTTGCCAGTTGCCAGTTGCCAGTTGCCAATTGTCAGTTGCTAGAGCTCTCCCACTTCAAAGGCAAATCTACAGATTGAGCGTATGACGTGCTTGTTCCGCCGCCTTTAGGGCAACATTTCAGCACATATTTCCAAGAAAATTTTGACGCACAGCAGGCAGCTTGCAATAGACCTAGAGCAAATTTTAAAACCCCCATGTCCGTTCAAAGCTGTTGTTCAAATATCCGTACATACTCTGTGTCGACTGTGAATGCCGCCAGAGAGCAGATTGGAATCGCACCGCAGGGTTGCTGACAATTTAAAAATGACTCCAAAATACATGTGCTCAACTATTGTTGCCAAAGACATTAAATTTGGATGCCAGACATTGGCGCACTGGCGATGTCTAGTTGGCAACATCAAGCTAGAGCGACCCCTGTCAAAAGCACACACTTACACACCCACACACCCACACATCCACACACATGCACACATACACTGAGAAATTAGGAAACAAACAAAAACATTGAAAAACATTTAAATCTTAAAGGAGTTTTTAAAACCTGAGTGTGAACAAAAATATACCTCGATATTAGTTGTGAAAGAATTTGCTGCTTCCAATCATAATTCACGATTTATGTCTTTATTTTTTTCGAAATTATTCTTGTCTGCTTAAAATATATATTTCTTTCTGAGCTACTTGTATTATTAGTTGAGTGATAGGATGCTGGGTTTGTCTTTTTTTTAAGTGTATACATATGGAATACACTCTTGGGCACGCATGGCGTATACATAATGCATTTTGCTATAGAAATGTCGGGCGTGATAGTCCGTCTCACTGTTACAGTCCGGTCTGCGTTTGTCCCGCTGTCGCCGGCCGGCTTCCGTCTGCCCCTAAGCTCTGGTCTCTGGTCTCTGGTCTACCCATCGGCCTTGGAGTCACCAGCGCCCACCCTTTCTCGTATTGTGCACTTGAGTTGTATGTTGGCAAGCAAAGTGCTATAAATTATCGAGTAGTTGGTTGCAGCTCCGGGACAAGCTGAATGAGTCGAGTCGGGACGTGTCGAGAGACGAGGCAGGGCACACAGTCTATCAAGCTGGCTACAAGAAAGAGGTGGCCATTGCTCAGCGAAAGTTGTGGACTTTAAATGACCAGAAATTAGAGCTGCTCGATTAAGACTCCGAGCTGGGGCTTAAAGCAATGTTTAGAAAATGTGAAATGTGCTGGCTGCTGGGTTCACAGATTAAGCGGACTGCCGCCAGAGACAATAACGGTTAACTAGAGGGAGTGAAACCGTGGAAAAGAGAGGAATAGATATAGATACAAAGAGAAGGAGAGTGCTCAGATGATCTGCGCCACTTTCAAGTTACTTTTGGCATAGGCATAATAAACTTTTCAAAGGTTTTTTTTACTGCCCCCCGCCGATGTTGTGTTTCCGTTCTTGTTGCTGTTGTTGTTGTTTTTGTTATTGTAGCTGCTGCTTCACGTTAACGGCGCACCGGGACAGGCAAGTGTGGCAGAGCAAACTTAATTAGTACAAGTTAAACAAGCCAAGTTGAATAAATACTCCCCGGCAGCACAAACTTTTATAGCAGCAACAATAAAATGTGTGTGCAGGTAGCCAAGACTCTTGTCACTACTCCCTACTCCTGACTCCCGACTCCCGACTCCCTATTCCTCTATTATCGTATGCCCTTTGGTAATGAGAGCACCTAGCCCACCTTCACTGAGACGTCATCTGAGGCTGAGCTCAAGCATCCTAGGTGCTGCAGTTAGTAAGCATAAAATGTAAGAGAAGTTACCTAATAGTTTTCCGAAGATTAAATACTCTTGCAGATAATATGGAGATGATTAAATTCATTCATTCTAATCAAGGGCACACCATTTCATTGCCCACATCTACTACATTAACTACAAAACTTAATTAACAATTAACTAATGCAATGCAAAATCACTGCAAGCGTCGATTTGGCTTATGCTTGTCGCTTTTACAACATTGATTCTATTTAAAAGTACTTTAAAACCAAAATGATTGCATTGCATTAAATGTCGAATTCTTATAACACAGTTAACAAAAATTAACAAAATTACAGTTAGCAAACTCTTTATATAAATGTGGGATTTCGTATAGAAGATAAGAAAAACCAATCTGGCAGCCTTGTTGCCATTGCAGGTAATCGAGTCAGTGGCGATATCAGTAAATCGATATCTGATCGGTATCGATTCAGTTCGGTTGCAGCCAGATGCAGGAAGCATAAGTTCAACTTATTTATCAATAAGCACAAACATACCAATGTATATCGGTAAGCCATCCATTATAATACAATAAATACAATATACAAAATCATAGATATAATATATAATATCTAAATATATTCAACCATTTGAAAATTTAATCCTGCATGTATACATATATATATTGATTGCTTTTAGGTGTATCTAAATCAATTCGACTTATGAAGGAACGTAAAAAAAATTTATGTTGGCTTTATACACTCAGAAGAAAATCGCTACGAATTTTATGAAAATCGCCAGATTTTTTCTCTGTTCAAATTCAGGGTAAATTTTTCCAAAACTTAGAAAAAATATGTTTCATTTTCAGCATGTTTTTTATAAGCTTACACGCAACTCTACAAATTAGCATGTTTGTTGCTTATAGTATTAATAACTTTAGTATATTAAAATATGCAAAACATATACAAACATTTTAGATAGTTTATAAAATGCATATGATTTCAGTTCTCAGGTCGATTTTTATGTAGTCAAAGTTGGGTTCAGTCAGTTGAGCCAGTTGGGTTCCACTTAAAGATGGTAAATTTAATGCATGAGCAGCTTTCTGCTTTTGTTGATCTACCGTGGCAGCAGTGGAACCACAATTTGTTGCTGGTGCAACTGGGAATTTGGGAGTTGCGAGTTGGGTGTTTGGCCATTGACAAGATTAACGCGCACAATTTGTTGCAAATTCGTTGGCGCTGCTGTTGCATTACATTAAAAACAAATCATAATGACAAACGAGTGGGTGGCTGCATTGGGTGGCAGCACTTGGCTGCAACTTTTGTGTAAGGTCATAAAAATGTTGAATGTTGAATTGTGGACTGAGCGACTGCTGGCTCTCCTCTTGCTGCTGCCTGGCTTGGGACCATGTTGAGTTGCTCCGCACCGAACTCTGCTGCTACATTATTCACATTTTACAGTTCGCCCAAAAGTTTGACGCAAAACTTTAACGGGCTGCGAGGGCGCATTGCTGTTGCCACTTCTATAAACACAACGGCGATCGGACGGCGGCGAATTTTCAAGTGCGCAATGCTCTTGCTTTTGCCTCACACCTCGAGCGGAACTGCCACACTCAAAGACCCGCCTAGTGTTATGCACTCAAAATCACACAATCCCCAAATCCATATCCAATGATTATTCAAAACAGTTTCAAAATACAATTTGGGACACTTGTATCAGGAATTTAGCTTATTATCAATTAAGAACATGAAAATTCTGATGTTATTTTAACTACAAATTGTTGGTTAGGAATTCTGATTCTGATTTAGACATTTAGAGATCGATATTTTGACTTGCTAAGGAATATTCCAAAACAAAATATAAAAGTATAAAAGAGTGGAAATTGTCCCAGAATGTAGAACTGTGCGTTTTTCTCTGAGTGTATTCAGGGCATGCGACACTTTCTAATTGGTAAGTGGGCGTGCCCAAGGGAAATGGGGTACTGTGCATTAACGTTTATTGCAGGCTAACGATTCGCAGTGCGAGACTCGAGACTTTTATGCGTGTTTATATTGGAGCGCTGGCTTGGCTTGTGTAATTACGCGCGACAAGTTGTGGAAGCCACCCAGCAACACCACCCACGTGTCCAGAGTTCAGCGTCTAGCGTGAGCCCGTGAGCCATAGTTTACAGCTTTTCTGCACGTCTAACTGGTCTGACAGCTGCAGTCAAATAAACGTCAGTCGTTGCCAACTTCCTACGGGTTCAACGACAGTTTACGACAGTTTGGCGGTAACACGCGCAACGGGCAACGGACAACGGGCAACGGCTCGAAGGGAGCTGGCAGCGTTTAGTGAAAGTGTAGTGTGTACGGTGTTTGGGAATGCCAGGAGAGGAACTCGTTGTACTCGTTGTACTTATTCCACCAGGTAACGGCCAACAACCAACAGCCAACTGCAATCTTCTTGATCAATTATGTTGTGAACTTTTTGGGGTTATTTTACGCTCTTTTTACGCTGCTTACTTTTGGCAACTCTCTCATTAGTTCTCGTAAGCCCCTATCCTACATCCTCCAACCCCATTTCACAATCCCTTATCCCTACCCTTTACAGCCGTGTCTCTAGATTTGCAATTAAAAGCAGATGTCTGCTTGTATATTTTAGATGCACAGCAAGAAATTGATCGTTTCTATTACATTTCATTGGATATATATATATTTATATTTATCAATAAGAAGCAGCTTGAATTTAAGAGTAGTTTAACTCGCAATTCGTAATCCGCTTATTATTTATTTTTGCCCGACAAGAGATTTTGCAAATTTTAATAAATTTTCCAAGACAACAAATCTTACTTTTTAATTAAATTATAAATTCAGTCAGCGCCAAGTGCCAAATCGAAGAGCTCAATCATTTTTCCACGCATTTTTTTTTATCTAGATTTCCATCTTGATTAGAATTTCATTTTTCAGCGTTTTTAATTTAAAGCAAAGCTTTTTACTGTGTATGCTCCTCCACCTTTACGGTTGTCTAAGGAGGGGGCGGGGGGAGGAAGTGGTATGCAAAGATGCTGAAGCACTTTGAGTTGTTAAACTGCTCTTCTTTATTGACTCAGCAGCGTCGAGTCTGCAAAGCACTTGCGTGTCGGGTAACTACTTAAGCCCAAAAATACCCTCCCGCTCATCCCCTCGCTTGGCAGCGGGTCGCGAGTCGCGGCACACGGCAGACATTGCTTTGGGTGGTTTTGCATAAGGACATTTAATTAAACACTCATTGCTGTAACTCGGCAGCTGCAGCCCACTTTGACCTCCACGTAAGGCATTTTTTTTTTGTGCCGTTGTTAAACTATTAGTTTGCCGGTAGCTTAGCTGTTGTGGTGGTTGCCAGCTTCAAGTGGCATCTCTCTTTGGTCTGTGGTGTGTGGCATGCAAAGCAGACACCGAGCAAAGCTCACATTAATTTGCAGGTGTACGCCCAGAAAGCGAAACAAACAACTTAACGCACACCTCAAGTAATTAAATAGTTGAAATAAGCTTGCTTTAATATTTATATGCCATAAATTAAACAAACAACGGCGCACGCAATGGAGACGCAGATGGAAATGGCAATGACGATGGAGATGCAGACGACACCCGCAAATCAACACACAAACAGGAGCACAAACACACCGACTCAGAGACAGAGAGAGAGAGAACGAGAGAGAGAGAGAGAGAGAGAGAGAGACAGATTGAGGGCAGAGAATTTGCTGAAGGGGAAGAAGGACGTTCCGAGACGACGCGTTGACACGTACGCAAAATAAATTTGTTAAGAACGCAATAAGAGCGAACATTTTGTCACAATTTAAGCGCGATAAATTATTGTAAGAGCAAAGAGACAGACACGAAAGTACACAAGAAAAAACACAGAGAGAAAGAGAGAGAGAGCAAGTGAGAGAGAGAGAGCAAAATAGAAAGAGAATGATTATGTAAGTCTAGCCGAAGATTGAATGCCTTTGTGCTGTGATTTTTTCAAAACACTAATAAAAATAAATATTAATAATTAAATAAATAATAAATTGATTGATTAAAATATTAAAAAATTACAGCTAAATCACATAAAAATTTATTACTCTCTATAAAAGTTAGTAAACATTTCTAAGTATAAATAAAAGTTAGCTTTTGAAACTCGTCCCAAACAAAAAGTTAATTTAATAACGAAAACAAGTAAAGCCCAAGATCAGATGACATTTTGCCAGCATCCTTCGAGTGTCGAATGTTCCATAGATTGATGCTTCTTTAGGGTATTCAAAAGAGAAAGCTGGTAACAGGAAGAGTTTTGCTCGGCTCTTATTAAATTAAAATGAATTTGAAACTTGATCTTGCGCCAGTCAAATAGAGAAGTGCTGCTTTCCAACAAATTGCCCAGCTTGCAGCAGCCAAAACTACAACACCAACAACAACAACAACTAGAACAGGAGCAGCAACAAGGAGCTTGAACTTAAGGACGCTGTCTGGCCCCGCTGCAGACAGGAGGACAAGGACTCGGCACATCGAGGACAAAGTTGTGCGCGTTTGTCTAGCGCCAGTCAAAGCTTAAGCAAAGTTGTTAAAGCAACGGAGTACTTAGGAATTGGTCGCTCAAAGATATTAAAATATATAAATCTTAAATAACAAGCAATAAATGCAGCTGCCCTTTACATCCACTTCTCTCTCCCTCTCTCCCTCTCTCTCTCTCTCTCTCTCTCTCTCTCTCTCTCTCTCTCTCTCTCTTGTGCGCGCTCACTGTCTGCTTGTGTGGGCGAAAGTTTTAATCAAAATATGCCGCACACAGTCGACCGGGCTTGAGTTTTGCTTTCCACTTTAAAGTTTTCAGAGATGCAGTCAAGAGCCGAATATAGAGGTAAAGCCCAAGCCAACCAATACATGGCCCATTCAAGCCGAAACCTCTTCAAAATTGAGTACACTTTTCAGCAAGAGATATTGATAAACATGCAATAATAATTGGATGCGCCTTTGATGTCTCTATCTTAAATGTTACCAAACAAAAAAACAACTTATTAGCTTCGACCTGTTCTATTGCCTAGATTATTAAAACATTGACAATATCTTTCAGTGTTGGAGAGGATATTGGAGGAAATACACACACACACACACACACAAATGCACATGCTCATCTTATGCAAAATCTTGAAATTCGTCTGTATTGTATTAAAATATCCTTTATACATTAATTATGTTTGGATTTGTGCAGCTAAACAAAGATAAACAAACTGAGAGCAATTCGAATTTGCTTCAGTTTTGGGTGAAAATTATAAATTCGTAGGTAGAAACGGTTAGTTTAAATGGAATGCTTAAATCGGTTGCTTTGTGTGGACTGCTCTGTTGAGTATTCATACGAAATGGCTACTTACTAATTCCCACAATCCCCCAATCTCGAACCCATTTTTTACATACTCCTTTCCGCACTTGTGAGCTGCCCCTGGTGTATTTCCCTCCTCCCCCTCCTTCTTCTCATAAGCCTCATGGCCAAAATGATTTTAGCTTTCCTCTGCGCACCTTTGGTTACACACTCACTTTGCTTGGCTATCACAGCTCCCTGGAGAGGGAGGTGGGTGGGTAGTGGGTATTCTGCGATTGCTAAATGCCAACAACCATCAAAATGTGGTCTGTCTGCGTGCGTATGTGTGTGTGTGTGTGTGTGTCTGGATGTGCGTCTCAATGTGTGTGTGTGTGTGAATTTGGCAAAATTTGCATAAATAAAATTGGTATAATAAAATGTAAACATTTTGCTAAGCAAATTGTTGGCGCACATACACGAGCCAGAAGTGAACCAAACCAAACTGGGAATGAACTGAGAATTTACTGAAGCTGGCGGTTGAGGAGCTGGAGGAACTAAAATTGAATGTACTCGTTGTGGGTGTGGAAGACGATGCTGTTGCTACACTGCAAGAAATACTCACACGTACATATTTGCTGAGTCAACAAATTTGCATTGAAATCAAGCGCAGATCAAATAACTCGACAAGGGTGAAAAATGGAAGTTAAGACTATGCACTCAGAAAAATATTGCTACATTAAAGTCATATTCTTTTCTAAGACTTATCACAATTCAGTAAAATCTGCTTCGAAGACAAATAAATACAATATCTAAGTTCAATGCTAGGAGACTTCAAAACTTTTCCGATTTTTAGAATGGATGTTATTCAAAATTAGAAAAAAAAAAATGTAATTTTGTTTCTTCATGCATATGCATCAAATGACAGGTATGACAGGACTTGCCCAAATCTTTGGCATCACTTTTGTTTGCTGAGTGCGATGGCTGGTATAAAAATGTGGATGTACTTACTGCACTGCGCTTCGTCTGACTTGTCCTGGCAGTCCTCGATCATATCGCAGCGATAATGCGGTGGGATGCAGTACGTCTTATTGAAGACATATTGGCCGCAGTTCAGCTGGGGTGTCTCGCATTCGGGCGGCGCTGCAATCAAGGATGGAATCACATTGGTATTGATGCGTTTGCCTGGGATTGACAGGTAGTGGTTGGGGAGGGTGGGTTTGGTTTACTTACGACACGACTGCATCTCATCCTCGCCATCGTCGGCAGTCCTTCTGATAATTGCACACCCAATGCGATGTTATGCATTTACCGTTGTTGCAGCGAAACATTTCCGGTGGGCATGGCACATTCGATGCGGCTATCGAGCTGCTGCCGGCGCCCTCGCCAAGTCGCACGCCTGCAAAACAGAGAAAACCGAGAGATGAGACAGGATAGAGACAGAGATAGAAAGAGAAGGACAAAGGTCGAGGCATTTAGACAGGTATTCAGTGGCACATCCTGGGAGCCGGACACTCGTGTTATATAGCACTGCGTATGCGCCACTCCTGGGTCACAAATCACAAGTCAAATTGAACCATCCACAGCCATCATCAGCAGTTGCAGTTGCAAGAGCATTGTTGCTCCTTGATTTGTCACCTATTGATATGCCCAATTGCTGTCTGGTCCTGGCAAACGGCAAATGCCAACCAACTGATGTATATATATATATATATGTATGACAATATTCATATTTATAATCGCATTTCAAATTCCCATCACAAATTCCCCGCTTAACTTATGCCCGGATTGTATCCGGGAACCAATCAGCTGGAAAGTTGGAGCGCCAAATGTGAAATGAAGTAGTCAAGGTGACATTATATTAAGTCAATAAGATCAATAGGAGAAGCAAAAGCCACCCCACCCCACACCACACACACAAGCTCCGTTATTAAAAGAGGGTAGCTTGTCAGCTCTTTAACGCTGTTGTTGGATTTAATGCGAAGGATGCATTCAACGACTTAAGGCGCCTGCAGACTTTCTCATTGTGCATTATTCCGGAGTAGCAACCACAACAGCAACAGCAGCAACAACAACAACAACTCCGAAAACACAAAAGACACAAAAACAAAGCATTGAACGTAATAAACCCTCCCCTTCACCCCTCCCCCGTCAGTCATCCCCCTATTCGCCCACTATTATTACAAAAGCTTTTCTATAGGCTGCTGTGCCAACTTTAAGCTTTTGGCCATAATAATAAACAATGATGTTACTCAATAATGCAGGGATGGCTACGACGATTCAATGATACCCTGCAATATTTCCCTCCTTTAGTTATTCGAGTACTGATCATAATTGTGCTGTCACTTGGCAAATAAATAAATAAAAACTCATTGGCATTTGGGGAATTGTTACGAAACTTATTTGCAGTGCTTTTCCTTTCGAGTTTTGCACGCCATTTTGCAATTTGATGGCTAAAATTTGATTGGTTTTTCTGTACACAGAACAGAAGTATCTTATAACTATTATGTTTAGACCATAAAAAATACAAAATGCCATATGAATTTCATTATAAGTTGTATGCCAAAAAAGGCAGAGTATAATAAAGTGCACAATAAAAGTGAAATACATAATTAAAAAAGTTTCAGCTTAGATTTCGCTCGAATCGAGCACTCCAATAAACATGTACATGAAATAAATCGAACATTCATATGAAGTGTATACATATATACACAAAAACATATACAAATGCATACATACATATACATATACATATGCATTAATGCCACACTTGAGGCCAAGAACCTTGCTGTGACATTGCCGCACTTGTTTTGTTTTTTTGCCAAGACTTACATATTGCTATTATTATCACAATTGCGAAAGGGATTGGAGCTGGTTTCGGTGCTGTTGCTGGCTTGTGGGGCATTCACTGCTTACTTTTCTGCTGCGTTCTCTTAAAATAAAAACAAAAACCCCAGAAACCGTATCAGGCGAGAGGGGTTCTTGGATAGCGGATGCTGTCTATGCCGCAGACAGACAACATGTTTCGCTCCCATTAAAGTTGGCAAGTTTGTGGCTAAATCTCGGCAGCAACTTCTTTTAAGCACTTTGTGCCCGGGCTGCTGCCCAGGTCTCCTTGTTGTTGCTCTTGTTGCTGTTGTTGTTGCTGTTGTTGTTGTTGTTCTTGTTAATGTTGTTGTAACTGTTTGGGGAACGTGTCGCAGCGACACAGCAAAAATGAGAGCAGCCGGCGTATTTTGGCAGCATTAATTCCTCCCGTGTGTCACATAACATTCGCCCAGTTGCTGTTCCTCTTGTTCCTCTTGTTGTTGTTGCTGTTGTAATTGTTGTTGTCGTCGCTGTTAGACGTGTTTATGGAGTCACTTCCCAGTTGGGATGCAGCAGCACGTAGCCAAGTCGCGACTTTACTTGTTTTCTTGCTCCCCACATTTTTCTCTCTCTCTCTCTCTCTCTCTCTCTCTCTGTCTCTCGCTGTCTCTTTTTTACAGCTCCCGTCTCTTTTTTGTGTCTCGATCTATGTCATTTGCTCCAAGGGCTGCCATTTTGTCAGCGTTGACAAACAAATTAAGCAGCAATTGCTTAGCACTTGGCAGCCATGAAAGACATAGATGCAATTGGAGAAATGCACTTTTCAGACACATTTGTGTACATGTGTATTTATAGGTGTCACTGCAGCATAATTAGCAGGTTTTATTGTTTGTGTGTATGTGTGTGTGTGTGTGTGTGTGTGTGTGTGTGTCAGGTGGCGAGTAAATCTGCCACTCATGTGTATTATTTGCATTTAAATTGCTTTTTGCCATTAATTATAGGCTCTTTTGAGTACGCGCATTGCGCAACAAGCAACCGACAACCAACAACAACTGGCAACTGGCAACTGGCAACTGGCAACATGCAGCTTGCAGCAGACTGCATTGTTATTAATAAGTGCCGAAGGCCCTTTGAAGTACGCAACGGTATTTTACGCCGATTCACTCGCTGTCCCAGTCCCAGATCCAGCTGGTTGTCCTCCCATCGAACCCAAAAGCCATCAAATATACATTTAAAAATTTTGCATTACTCTCAACAAAAAAATAAATATGTGGCGGACACTGCGTGTGTGTGTGTGTGTGTGTATGTGTGTGTCTGTGTGGGTGTGTGTCTGTGTGGGTGTGTGGTTGGATGTGTGTGTGTCTGTGGACCTCGCGGCGAGGTCCACGAGGCTTCTTCTGGCTAGGGCGGCTCACTAGAGGAAAAATGCCACTTTTGCAATAATTTATCAAGTAAATTAAACTATTAAATTGGTGCCAACTGGTCACGAAAGCTAATAATCATTTTGATAGAAAATTCAGATGTTATTCAAGAAAACAGAAACCGGAAATTGATGTTGTATCCAAAAAGGTAAGTTTTTCTTAAAAATTTGTTTTGTTTCAAGTTTATTTATCGCAACTTAACATTTTATCAAAAGTTTTTTCTTTAAAGTTCGAAGCATTTTTCGCACAGATTCGGATAGCTTAAGATTTAATTAAACAAATTTATAACAAAAATGTTCTATTTAAAACAAATAATAAAATTTTTACATTTTTGTTTTCTTTCAATTTTTTATTAGCCAAAAACTATTGTTGCTTCCCACAGTGCGGCTGCCCAGTTGCCCATTCGGTCGACGCACGCGTCAGCGCTAAAAATAATAGGCCGCCTGTGTGCATACTAATGAGTCCCCGGACGAAGTGGCCCGTCCGTCTGGCAGCCACTTGTCCGCCAGCACGCCCAGCCCGCCCAGCCTGTTTGCCAGCCTCCTACCTGCCACCCCCCCCTCCCATGCCTGGTGTGTGAGCATGCAATTATGCCAGTTGTCTGTGCCACACGTCTGTTGAACTCTTCGTTTTTGTTGCACCTATTTGTGTGAAAGGCTTACAATAATTGTAGTCAACATATGACTGCTGACGGCAAAATCGCACACAATTGTTACAGACTCCAATTCAATTTGATTTACAAAACTTTCATCTACTAATTAAAACTACAACAGTCTGTCAATTATCCATTTAAGTTGTAATTTGAAATTATATATTTCATATAATGCCATTAATTGTCTAGTTTCGAATAATAATTGCAACAAAGTTACCACGGAGAATCTTTATTTATTCAATACAGCTAATTTGCTGAATACTGATAGCTGTTTATTGATGGCTTTTGAGAAGATATCTGGGAGATTTTGAAAATAATCAGGCAATATTAAAAGAGAAGTATTCAAACAGTGATGTTTGTACTCTCTGACTCTGAATATGTTTATGTTTACATAAATATAAGAATCAACAGCATATTGGACGAGGTCTCACCAAAGAAATAATATGCCCTGTTTGCAGGTAGAAGGGGTAGCAACAACCCTCTCGAGTTGCTTAATGAACAGCGAGCCTGTCAGCTTTTGGGAAACGAGAATTCAGCCCGTGGGTCAGTTGCTTTGTGTCTTTTTTGGCGGTGCATTTATTTGCTTAACTTGCTTTTTTATTTTATGGTTTTTCTTGCGCACGAATGTGCGTGTGTGCGTGTGTGTGTGTGTGTATTTGGCTGTTGTTGTTTGTTTAACTTTTGCCTTTGGATTCGCCGCTGCGTGTACTTTAATTTTGCATATTAATTTTTATTTACTTAATTTGTTTTTTTTTTTTTTTGTAGTTTTTTTTTGCCTCTTTTTATCATGTGTTTTTGCAGATGCTTTTGTCATTTTTGTTTTTGTTATTGTTTTCGTTTCGTATTTTTATAGCCCCATCGGGTTGCACAACTACATAAATATAAATGCATATTCGACCATTTATTCATTTTATAATATTTTGTTATGCATCTGGTGTGCTTTATAAATATATGTATGTATAGCTTTAAAACACTTGTGATTTACATTATTATTTTAATTTTTATATTATTATTTTTTCTTTTCTTGTAATTTATTATTTTAAATACTTTTCGGTATGTGGCCACATTTGTCATTTGTGATTTAGTGACTCAAGCGCAAAATGTATTATTCATGGCTCATTTTTCAATAATCAATGCACCATTATAAATAATTAATATGGGGCACGCCCACACGCCAAATGTCGTGTACATGCGATTAAACTTAATTTCAACCATACAAATTGTTGGCAGCCCCAAATCAGGCTGACAAACACGTATGCCATATGAACCATGCGCGACTGCACTCAGAGAAAAAGTCAAGTACCACCGGAATTGTGCTGTTCACAAAATATCAAGTACAATTTAATTTGAAATATTTCGTAGTATGCATAATAAGTTATTGATTTTAGAAAAGAGCCAAGTGTTGCATAATCAGCAACATTTTTTGTGTTCATTTTAAAAGCTACATTTGAAATTTAAGCTGATTGGTGGCTTTAAGGATGATATCATAATAGGAACAAAATGCCTTTAGGTAATCAA